ATAAAACAACAAAAATGCTCTTTTTGAAAATTGAAGATGAATTTGTTGTTTTAACGAAAAATTTAATGGAAAATATAACGGAATTTGGACTGAAAAAAACTGGGCTTCCTGTTAATAGCTTTTCATTTCACAAATTATAATCCTAAACCCTAACCTAATTTTTCAAGGGCAGAATCCCTCTCATTTGAGAAAAAAATGTAGTCTCCTCCCTTGTACTGCGATGCAATTTTCTGTTTCGTAATTTACATTTAAAACTTACTGTATTCTGATTCTTGTTGTAGGCTCCAAAGAAGGGCACAAAATTGCTGGCGGGAGTGGCTAAAAAGAAAGCGGATAAGGCAGTAAATGCGCCCGACGCAATTTGGAATTGGTGGAGCGTTGCCGTTGAAGAAGCAGAGGATTTCTGTTTCGTAATTTACATTTATAACTTACAGTATTCTGATTCTTGTTGTAGGCCCCAAAGAAGGGCACAAAATTGCCGGCGGGAGTGGCTAAAATAAAGCTGATAAGGCAGTGAATGCGCCCGATGCAATTTGGAATTGGTGGAGCGTTGTCGTTGAAGAAGCAGAGGAATAGCTATCGAAGAAGAAGGGCAATTGTGGCACTAGGGAGGAATTTGCTGTTGTTTCCAATACTTATTTTCAAGGCGTTCTGTTCTTCACCTTTTCTTCTATCCTTAGATCTAAGGTTTCACCCATTTCTTTCCTTGTCAATTTTATTTTTCAATTCAATTCTCATTCATAATATAGTGTTTCTCAAATTAGGTTTAGATGGTGGTAATACCGAAGGTTATGAAGGTGGTTCAGGTGGATATGGTGGTGGTGTCGGTGATTATGGTGGAGGTAGCAGTGGCGGCTCACTTTATAGCAATAGGGGTGGCTATGGTGGTGTTGGGAGCGGAAGGTATCATCCTTATGGAAGGTAGGTGATTTGGACAATTTTCTAATGAGAGAACTATTCACTGTGAACAAGAGATTTTGTAATTTAAATTGGTAATTTATATCTTTTTGTTTTGGTAATTTAGAATGAATATCCATTTGAATTTATAATATCTTGTAAGCTTGTGTTGTCCCATCTTCTCTATTCTGATTTTGTTTCTCTACTGTAGATTAAGATGGTAGCCTTTGGGAAAAAGTTGAAGGAAAGACAAATTCAAGAATGGCAAGGGTATGCATATTATACTTGTTCTGGATTCAATTTTATAGTTTTTTTAAAAAAAATCTCGGTAGCATATTCCACACCTAAACGAGTTAGAATTCATTACAGTTGAAGTTGCTCAGTTGAGAACTACAAAATTGACGACTTAAATAATAGATTTACTGATTGCTATGTCAAAACTCGTGCTAATCATCCTTATTCTCTGCTTCAGCAAGTATTCAAACATGTGGTAATATGCTTAAATGGGGACATATTCCCCTTTCGTTTCTTGTGCTTATTATGCTACCTATTCAGAATATACAGAACTATGGTCTATGGATACTTTTGTCTTAGTATCATTGAGATTTTCATACGACAAGCTTAAAATAGAATTACAACTATCACTCAAGAAAAAGAAAAGAAAATAACTAATAAGACTGGTGCTTGCAGGGATTAGGAGCTGTAATTAGAGCAATATCTCGCAATCTTGCAGACCTTCAAGACCCACAGGGAAG